ACACAATGACAGAGAGATGTGTGTATTACATTTTTTTGTAAAAGTTACCGCAATTTTCTTCTGCAACGGCCGTAGAAAACATGAAAGAGACACATCTGTTTTAGCACACTATAATGATCTTATATGATGCTCGAACCTTGAAAGTAGAAAGCCGAGATAATTTATGAGCCATCAAAACACGATATACGCCGAATATCTTGAATGAAAACATACGCATATAATTGTATTCATCTGATTTTTTAGCGCAATGTTTGCGGATTTAACATAACTTTCTCATGCAAATCCAAGTTGCGTTTAAAAAATAAGGGACAACTGTTTTGGGCTACTAAAAATGTCTACCGAAATGAAATTTATGTTATAGGGTGGTTGGACAATTTTCAACGAATATATTGAGATAAATTAAAAATTGTCAGAACGCTGAACGTCCGTATTTAATGTTAACAAAATGTATTGATTTTTGATGGGTTGAGAGCTCTTCACGTGATCAAAAATAAACACACAATTTTGTAAAGAGTACTATTTAGGGCTAGCAATTTTTGTTATCCAAACTGTAAAATATTTAAATGTTACATTTTTGTTTAAGTTTTTTTTGATAATTTTTTTTTAAATTTAATAAATTTTTATTAAACAAAATGTTAAAAGATTTAATTTTCAATAATTTTAACAAAAATCTTTATATATATATATATATATATATATATATATATATATTTAATGCAAGATATAAAACAAAAATACCCAGCAAATAGTACTATTGGAGTTACCTCTTGCCCATGGATTCAACCAGAACCTCTTAAGACAGTATGTATTCAGCATAAGAAAATGCCATACTCTACCAACTTACGCCTAGCCTTCACGCAAACATGTAATCCAGGATTGATATGATTGCAAGTGGAAAGTGAAATACTAATTCGATATAAAACTATTATTCCTAATATAACCCATAATAGCCAGACAAAATAAGAATTATATGCTATTGTATTCCATATGCGAATTAAAATGAGGTTTCTGAAAGGAAGATTATTTCCAGGATCTCGTGCCCAGGGTATACAGGCTAGAAAAAAAATATATAAAACAGATTATAACACTCGAAAGATTCAGGGTAATTTGGGTGCAATATTTTGATGACGATATTCTAGTCAGCTCAGAGGATTTTGATCTAGGTATATGGATCATTATCATTGGTATTCATCATGATAGGCTCTGTGAATTATATACATGACGATTGAGAGTGGAGAGAATGTAGAGAGTGCGATACGAAGCATGATGGAACAAACTAATTATAAAAGGAGCAGAGGATGTTTGAGAAGAATACTTAATAGTGTGTGTGTGTGTGTGTGTATGTATGTGCGTGTGGGTGTGCGCGATTGTGTGTGTGCGTGAGGGAGTGTGGATTTGTGTGCGTATGTGCGTGTGGGTGTGCGTGATTTTATGTGCGCGTGGGTGTGCGTGATTATCGGTGTATACGTGTTTGCGGGAGTGTGGATGTGTGTGCGTGAGGGTGGGTGGGTGTGTACTTGCGTATATGGCTGTGCGTGTGTGTGTATATACATACATATCATTACATACATATAATTATGATCAAAGGAATGCTAGGTTAATTCGTGTAAAATATCAAATTAACTACATGTAGATACCTGTGATTAAGACCACCTAGACATTCAAAGTTTACGAATTCGACAAGACTTTTATCAGGTCCCACGGATAAAATTTATTGTGTCTTTTTGTCAATCACAAAATTAAAGGAGTGTTGTGGTATCGTTCAGTAATCTTCTTGCAAACAGATAAAGAGGTTTTCATCTTTTATCTAAACATCCGTTTCCGGAAAACCCCAATATGAAGACCCCGTCGCACACTGACCGTAATCTAGCGTATTCTCGAAGACCAATGACGGGGAAACCATTTTTTTGTGCATAAAAATGAATGAATTAATCAATTATGATGACTTTCAGCATCATTTGTTCATTATGACATTGTTTTCAGTTCGCATCATTATCATCATCATCATCTTCTCCTTTAATGTACTGGACATTCTATTTAATTTTATAATTTAAATTAAAAAAACGGCTAAATGTGAGTTGCTGTGTGTTAGATTCTTGTTAAAAATAATGTATATGTATTTACATATATATTGCTTAGTTCAGTTATATTGCTCAGTTTAGTATTACTATAAATCATATCACTACTCGCGTGCACACAAGCAAACATAAATAAATTTAAATATTTGATTTTTTTCCCTACTTTTTGTCATTCTTGTCGCTATAGTATCACTATAGTATCACTCACGTTAAAAAAAAAAAATCTCCTTTTTCTTCAGAGTAAATAACTTGAGCTTGGCAATATATATTTAAAAACTAGTTTCTCTAGTTGTCATACGAAACATGGCTTATTATCCGATTTGACTGACTTATGATTAGATTATTATAAGTCTATCACATGAATAATCAAGTTATTAAATTACAATTGAAATAGACTTATAACTACATGATTACATGTAAATTACTGTGATGGATCTCTTATGAATTCAAGAAGACTATGGCAATGTTAACCACTCCGAAGGTCCGGTAGATATTCTCCAGAAATTGTGTCTTTTTATCTGTACTATATCAAGCAGTTGGGTGCTTCTGGAAAAACATGTATTCTCTCTACAAAATGTGACTACATTACACTTAAGTTGTTATTTACTCCTTGTTGGCGTTTTGGGTATTGTTTTTTTCTTCTTGATTCAAGGTCTCATGGTTTTGCTTCGAAAAATCTCGGACAAGAGTCCCTTGGTTGCGGACATCACCCAAACCTCTACCCATCTAGCCCCTGGCTGCTTCATATGCGTGTGGATACGATCTCCAGACTCACAGTCGATTAGCCGAGGTTCGTACCAAAATCGAAACAGTATGCTATTTTGATTATCCTGATAGGAAAATGATGGGTAAAAGTGTAAAACGTCCACGCGTAACCTCTCTTGATATTCCAGATCCATTTCCTTTGCTATGACATCCGAAACCTGTACCCCAAAATATCACAATCTCTAGACCGTCTTTGTGATTATGCACCTTACTATTTTATCTCGTCTGTTCTAATGATCAAGCCTTATCGATTACATTTTTTCTTCAAGCACCCCATTAATGGCAGGAGAGATGAACATGTTTTTGTTTCTAACCTTGAAGATCTTACCAACAAAAAGTTCATTTGACAAACTGAGAGAAGAGCCCCAACCCCTTCCAACTACACCCACTTCGTTAAAGAAGGTAATATTCCATTAACCTATACAAAAGAGGGGGAAGGGGGAGGGGAGGGGTCCCCTAGCGCATGTCTCTTCACTCTTGCTCCTATAATCTTAATGCAGACATATTTTATTTCCTGTCATTGCAGTTTATGACCAGCAGATGTCCAGTGATATTGTTTATTATTATCAGTTTACAGTCGCCCCAGTGGCCTATAGCACCAGCGCTTTGGAGATCGGTGGAAATGATTCTCATAACATTTTTTTTACAACTAAAGTTTATTTTTTGCCATCTCATGCACCAACTACTACCACTACGTTGATATTAATTTCACTGTCACTACACACTTAGCGATGTACCTTAAATATGAATTAAAGAAACTGTGATTGAGAAAATTAAGGTTTGAGCACGTTTCATGAATTCTGCTTTACATGTGTCTGTAAATGGTCGATGCTTTCACCGAAGACCTATTGCTTCTCATCAGCAGAAGGAGCTTCCCTGCATTAGCTTAATTTAACAATATCTACATGTGTGCGTATGTGTGTGTCGTGTGGGTGTGGGGGAGGGAGGGGTGGGGGAGTGGGTGGTAGCCCCATGTGCACTGTAAAATGTATCGGGTAAAAAAAGTGCTCAATAACTGTAATGATGTGTACAGAAGGCTTTAAGGGCATTTAAATGCCCAGAACACTGGATATTTGTTTTAGAAAATGTGATCGTGATTCAGCAGAAACTACCTCAAGTCGAGCACAATATTGCCCATCAAAGTCAGTCGGATAGACTATAATTCCCCTTATTGGGCAATTTTTTGACCCTGTCTCTTCAGTATTGTGCCTATACAATTTCATCAAGAATAGTAGCTATTCCCGACAGAATGTTAAATGTGTGTATCAAATATTGATGCATCCATTAATTCATATCTCATATCAAGGGATCGCCTCTTGAGCCCCCCCCCCCCCCACCCCACTCGATACGCTGAGCTAATGGTAGCTTGTAGATGACATGCATAGAAAGATCATAATCTGGAACAATCATTACAGAAGTCGTTACGAATAAGGGTTGTGGGTTTCGTTCCTCTTGGGTGAACCTACAATTAACTTATATACGTGAAAGATTTGTTATTTTCAATCTTCCCTAAAGTCAATCACTGTTGGTTGAAGGCTTTCCTATTCAAATGATTCTGATTTATAATGAGAAGTGTGACGTGTGCTCGGTATGAAATTCGAAATAGGCTTACTATTTACGGGAAGACAATTTTACAGGCAAGAGAGTAAGGACGAACGAAATATGACATTGTGGATAAAATCGAAATTCCTTGCGGGAGCGAAACTTATATGATAACGTTAGAATAATGTATTCTAAATAATCAATATGACAAAATAATAACAATAAAGAAAAAAGTAATTTGAAGAACTCTCAAAATCTATAAGAGTGACATTGACGCATTCGATGTCTTTCCCAAGATTCGTCCACCCCAACACGATGACAGCAACGTGATTTGCGCGTACCTTTTTCTGATCCTCCTCTAGTCCTTATAATGTACACATTCTTTATTTTGTTTTCTTCCATCACTCATGATGTTGTGGAGAGCCCCTTTATTTAGTGCGTCTCGCTTTGTGAATCACACACCAAACAGTGATGGAGTACTGGCGTATTAAACTCGCCTGTGAGGAGAGGCGCGGTGACAGAGTTGGGGCCATGCGAACACCCCCTCTCTGTGGCGTCGCGGGCCTTCCACGGTGTGTATATAAACCGCCAAAGTCGTCCGGTATGCGATCATTTAAACATCCCGAACAAGAAGCAACGCTACGACACAGCGCCTTAGAACCAACAAACCAACCTCAAGTCAAAACACCAGAGAGGAAAAGACCAGACGTAACACTTGTTTTTATTTCGTCGACTTCTTTATTACCTCTTCAGTTTCAAAGTAAGTAAACCGACATTTTTCCAAATAATTCTTTAGAGGATCATTGGCCTCTTAGGGCTTTACTTTTTTTCTTTCTTTAATTTGTTTTTATACATTTATAAAAACCAAATTATTGTGTGCATTGTTGAAAAACTTTTCTATCACCCTGATGAATCTGTATCATTTTAATGCTGCTTATTCTTAACCATTTGATAAAGTTATTTCTCAAACACTTTGGAGATGACAATGCCTGAATAACTTGCCTGTTGCAGACGTATTTTAACTACGAATTTAAGACGTTTGGTGTTGAATGGTTATTGGGATGATTTGAATTATGATGATGTTGGTTAAGGTGCTGATAGTTGTGATGAGGAGTTTGATGATGGTTCAGAGTAGCGGCGGCGGTGGTGGTAGAGGTGATAGTGAAGTAAGTGGTGGCGGTAATGATGGTGGTGGTGGAAGTTGTGGATGCGGTAGTGATTTTGGTTATGGTAGTGGTCCGTAGTGGTCGGGATAGCTTCAATGGTACCATAATTATTGTGCTCAGAATGGACGAAAGAAACGATAACAATAGTAAGCGTGTTGATAATTAGTGCGAATTATACATTGTTCAATAAGGAGCATAAAAAAGGTGATGACGATCAACAAAAATGTTAGTTGGATATAATGTGTGATTGCTTAAAATAAATTTCTGTTTATTTGTAATGGAATATGTCGCATTTCCATGATAAATTATCCACCTTTCTGTATTGAGTATGCTTTCACCTTAACTTAATTTATTGTGAGTGTTGCACCCCCTTCCCGGGGGACTTGTCTGATGTGGATATTTAGAGACAGAGAAGCCACAAAACAACATACTTCCGTCACTCGTCAGAAATATGGATTTTGTAAATGACTGCGTGATTCATCTATTTTCACATTACTAACTTCATTCTTCCACTGACATGACAAATTGCGAATTTAGATAACTGATTATCACAATTATGATTATTTTACACGAATTCCACTTCCATTGGGGAACTCTATACCTTTAGTTAGCGTCTACAAATTACCCAATACATCAAAGTATTTGATGCCATTATTAAGGATAATTGGCAATACATACTATCCCAGAATGTGATGATTCCATGAAAAGTATGACTATTCGTCTCCTTTTCATTCGAATGGTGGACCACGTCGGTGGAATTACCAGGCCAATTATGAGGAAGGTCTTCTATCAAAATGGGGCCTAACGAGAAATGAGAGAAGAAGCGATTTACAATCCAGCCTGAGTTTCAGACGGAGAAAATTGGCATTGGACACAAGGGAGGGTGAGAAGGGGGTGAGAAAATTAATGTTCGGGAGAGAGAGAGAGAGAGAGAGAGACAGACAGACATAGACAGACAGAGGGAGAGAGAGAGGGAAGACGAACAATAAGAAAACGAGAGGGAGAACCAAAGAGAGAGAGAGAGAGAGAGAGAGAATAAAAAGAGAACAGAAAGAAAGCCGAATTAATGAATGGTGTCAATCTTGTACTTCGACATCAAAATATGCCTCCACTGGCTAGTAGCCCAAATGCATGAAAACTAATAATAGGATGATATTGATATCTGTTTCATCTTCTTGACTTTCCATGAAGACATTTCGAATCTTAGACTTGTATTTTATACACATTATATTTCAGCGCGACATTTATCTGTACTTACCACTTTTCATCCAGAAGAAGAGGTATCGGCTAGGAATAAAAGTTTATTTTTATTTTAGAGTGCTGCAATTACAAAAGACATCTGAAGGGGCCTCTTATTAATTGTTTACTGTGACGTGAATGATATTGAATTAGACAATAGTGGAAAGCGCCTCGCGTGCGACTGCCCTAAGTTAAAATACGTATTAGATACGATTGCGTTACATTATTTCATCGTCAAGGTTGAGATTTTGAAAACAATCATTCAATAAATGTTAGAATCGCCAGGATTAAAAAGAAAAGATGACGTGCCACACGCGATCCTTGGACGTTAGAGCTGCTAATCTCGTACTACCCTTCTTTTTCTACTACACAGGATAATGTTACAAATGTGAGATATCCTTGAGTTTCCTAAAGTCATTAGTTATCTGGGAGGGTACGGTAATGTCACACGCTTCTTGATGAATTTTTATCCGTCAGAAACTTTCAAATGCGAACTTCGATTTTGTTAAACAAAGAAAAGAAATTTTAGATTGCGCATTTTCACCCCTCTGTTGGCACTCATACCCTTCTGTAATTCCCCAGTCGTAACCCCATGCTTCGGTAAGCATAGGGCCTGATAACATTAGGACCTCTTTATGAGTATCTGGCTTCGAGAAAATTAAGGATCGTGAAACATCAGATGAACCTCGGCTGAAACACTGTTCGGAAAAGAAAAAAAAATCATATTCCGTGGACTGCCAACGTCATCCATTAATGTCGTCCATTCCGTTTTGGTAATAAAGTGTAGGCTCTAATGATTTTCTGCCTAATGCTACATTTCGGAAAAATTTATTCATAATCATGTACCTGACCTATAGAGCTGAAACATGGTATTTTCTCCTTTCTCACTTTTCAAAATCAAGGACGCAACCTTTAAACGATTGCCGGTGGCGTCACTTACATCCCCGCGTGTTTCATGAAGAAAATCAAGACAAGAGAAAAGAGGGGGCTGTAGAAATCTGTTTTTACTTAATAATTTCACATTATTAAGTAAAAACAGATTTCTTAATAATTTCACATTACCAAACTGTTGTGTGTGTTGCGTAAGCACATCAAAGGCACCAAGAGGTGTTTCAGTCTACATCATGTCATAAAATATCAATAATAATCAATAAGCTCCTTCTCTGTCGTTAAATGCGAGGGTGCCCTTGACAAATTGTAAAATTACGTGTTAATCGGGACAAACAGGTATATAGACAGCATAAATACCAGTACAGATTTAGTGAAAATAGCATGAGAGAGAGAGAGAGAGAGAGAGAGAGAGAGAGAGAGAGGATGGATGGAGAGAGAGAGAGAGAGATAGAGAGAGATGCAATGACAACAGAGAAAAAGAGACGAATGACAAATGGAGATGGACAATATATCCAATTACTTGATTTGTAATAAAGTCAATCTTATGCGATGGTTTCTAAGCCAGTTTCAAAAAGGCAATCACATTTAGAAACTAGGAATACTGATTTCTTTTCTTCAGTTAACAGTCATTGCTGAAGTCATGGAAGTCAAAGAACTTTCCTGAAGTGCTATACCAACGCAATATGAGAAGTGTAAAAATTTAGATTTTTTCCTTGAGCGTTTCAAATAGTGAGTCGTACGTGCTCACGTGACGTGATGGGTTCAATGTTAGAAATTCGATCTTCTTAAAATTGTCCGTGAGCTGTAGAGACCACAGTATTCCGTGGTCATCCACATCTTTGGGTAAAGTTGCCATGTAACTCAGTAGAGAAAATCTTATGAAACATGAACGGAACCCAATCTTATGAAAAGTCCTTTTGATAGAAATAGATAAGATAATTTCTCTTGCCTTGGCCATGTCCCTTACAAATCGATAAGCTATATCACATTACAGAAGGAGAGTGCGTATCATCACAATTAAAGAATAGAAAACCTTCCTTTTCAACCACAAAATGAATATAAGTACATTCAATAAATGTTCATGTTTTACAAGAACAATAATTGTTCATTGATGTTTGAAGAAAAGTTATCTTTGTAGGTCGATATAGTGTATCGCTTGACTTTGAGTCTATCATGTAATAAAACAATAAAGAAAAGGTCACAACTCTTACCTGTTTCCCATATAGTATAGAGCTACTACATATAAAACAAATTTATTTCCGTCTTTTTCTAATTTATTTCATGGTTAAAGCAGGTTTTTTCTCGATATACCTTATTCATATGATTCATACCTGTGCTGCTTGGGATGACTGAGCACTAGGGTTTAGCAACAAATGTGTAGATTTTTTTTTCCATCACGTGTTAATGATTAGCTCTTACACGTTCTTTATTGATTCACGTTCAAAGTGATAATCTGATAATCTCAGCATTTTCATGATTCTGAGTCAGTGCTTCTTCCCAACCAATATGAGTTCTTTTTAATCAACCATTTTTTTTCTTCTTCTTGTTCATCTTACCTTGTCGAGGGAAACCCTGCTCATTTCAATGTCTCCAATTTTCCTGCATAAAATGTTTATCTTGATTACAAAATGGAGAAAGGTTACCTCATTGAAACAGTAAATACAAAGGAAGCCAAACTTGTCTCATCATGGCAGGGAACGACTCATAACTTCTGCTTGCGATTTCAATTTTCTTGACTTCGGATTGAAATTGAACTTTTTTAGTCAAAAATCAAAAGCGCACGATCGATTGCAAAAAGAAACTTTGGTCCATCAATAATTGTTGCGAAGATGATGGAAAGCGGAAGAAGAGGAAGGATTCGGAAAAGTAGAAGAAGACGAAAAAAGAAGAGTTAAGGACAACCATAGGAATGCAACCCCCTAACTTAGCAACCCACTAACAGGGCAACATTATAACTTCCACGGGGGTACGTCATGCAGCCCTTTCAATAAAATTAAAGAAAACAGTAATTTCGGGTGACGATGGTTAACTTTTATTCGATTTCACGTCCGGTCTGAAAGGGGTATATCAGACGGACGTTTCACCCACCCCTGCGAAAGGGCCTCACCAAAATGAATCGAACGCAGATCTGGGCGAAATGTGTCACGTGACCTCTTGAATCAAGATGATTGATCGTAACGGATTGTTTCAAGTATGGTAGCTTTGCTGAAGAACCCTGAACGGAAAGCAGGCGATTTTTGCCTCAGGAAAGTCGGCGTAGCGCGGGAAAAGTATTTTTTTTTTTGTCAAAGCAGATTTTTGTTTTTCTCTGTGTTTGCGTGGAACAAAATAATCAATAACAGCAGAAATTTGGCGTAGAACATCTTTGTCCATTAAGCCCCTGGCATTCGCATTTCGTGTCATTTGCTCTTCAAATAGCATCCGAGTTTACATAATTGATCGAATGATATGGGGTAGGAGAAGG